TGCGCGGTGCTGCTCAGCTCCCTGCTGCTGGCCGCCGCCGTGGCGCTGCGCAGCGCCACCCGGCCCTGCCCCGCCGCCCACCCGGACGCCGCCGCCCACCCCCGCTGCCGCGAGCGCCTCTACCAGGCGCTGGAGCTCTCCCCCGGCAGGAGGATCAACTGCTCGGGGATCGTCCGCGGCGATGAGAAAGCCATCCGGGAGGCCCAGCTCAGCAACCTGGAGGTTGCGAACAGAAGGGCTTCCCTGACGCCCGGCGAGTACCTGAACATGACTAAGGACTGCAGCAACTTCAAGGAGACCCGGCGATTCATCGAGTTCCCGCTGAGCCAGGAGGAGGCGGAGTTCCCCATCGCCTACTCCATGGTCATCCACAACAAAATCGACATGTTTGAGCGGCTCCTGCGCTCCCTCTACGCCCCCCAGAACGTCTACTGCGTCCACATTGACAGCAAGTCCCCGGCCGCCTTCCAAGAGGCCGTGCGGGCCATCGCAGCCTGCTTCCGCAACGTCTTTGTGGCGAGCCGCTTGGAAGAGGTGGTGTATGCCTCCTGGTCCCGGCTGCAGGCTGACCTCAACTGCATGCAGGACCTGCTGCGGAGCCCCATGCCGTGGCGCTACGTCCTCAACACCTGCGGCACTGATTTCCCCATCAAGACCAACATCGAGATCGTCCGTGCCCTGAAGGTGCTGCAGGGGCAGAACAGCATGGAGTCGGAGAAGGCCTCGGGCCCCAAGCAGGAGCGCTGGCGGTACCACCACGAAGTGGGGAAGTTCATCTTCCGGACAGCCACAGAGAAACCGCCGCCACCGCACAACTATCCCATGTTCACGGGCAACGCGTACATTGTGGTCACACGGGCCTTCGTGCAGTACATCTTTGAGAACCCCACGGCGCAGCAGTTCCTCGAGTGGGCCAAGGACACCTACAGCCCCGACGAACACGTCTGGGCCACCCTCAACCGCATGCCCGGCGTGCCGGGCGCCATGCCCCAGAATGACAAGTTCCAGCTCTCGGACATGAACGCCCTGCCCCGCCTGGTCAAGTGGCAGTACCTGGAGGGCGACACCAGCAAGGGCGCGCCCTACCCGCCCTGCGCCGGCCAGCACCAGCGCGCCGTCTGCATCTACGGGGCGGGCGACGTGCCCTGGCTGCTCCAGCAGCACCACCTCTTGGCCAACAAGTTCGACCCCCTCGTGGACAACGCCGCCATCCAGTGTCTCGAGGAGCACCTGCGCCACAAGGCCCTCTACGGCCGGGGGCTCTGAGGGGAAGCCGCGGAGACCCTCGCCAGCACCTGCCTCCTCCCGTAGGCGAGTCGCAGCCGGCAGCGCCTCAGGGACGGCGGGAGACCCCTGTCGTGAGGAGGGATGCGCGCCTCCGCGTTACCCGCGCCGGCGGAGCAATCTTTCCGCGCGGCGGGAGGGCGCGGGCGCCTGGGCGGTCCCCTGAGGAGAAGTCGGCCGCTCGGAGCCGGCGGGCGCGCGAGGTAGCTAACGGTCGGAAGAGCTGCGCTGCG